CTTGTACAAGAGGGGGTTTGCCGAGGGTGCCTATCTGTTTGCTCATATACAAGACCCAAAGACTTTTTCTCAGGGGGAGAGCATTGGGGGCGCCGTTTAGTGCTGTTTGATAAATTTAAGGAATAATCCTGCCCAGTGGGGCGGTTAGGAATCCCGCCTCAGCCTTTCAGCCATTTCTCCGGAAATCTCTCTTTAGATCTATCCGGTTAGTTTTTGATAGCGAGCCTGAGAGGAGAGGAGGTGAGAAATCACAACTTGGATGGAACTGAGAGTGAAGCGAGAGGAGTTGTTTATGTCTTCCACAAGAAGTACGGAAAGAAAGTTAGGAATACAAAGAAAAGAAAGAGAAGGTAGCCATCATATAGAGAGCTGACCTTCTCAGCAACAATCAAACAAACAAAACAGCCACCCAACCAAGGGGGCTCACGCTTTGTGCCCTGGTGTCCGCATATCTGCTTCCCCACACATCTCTCTATGATATCTGCATAACACCTGCTCTCTCACATACTGCTGTTGGAATTATGCCATCAGTTTTTTGTTCCTTTTTTTATTTTCCACTTTTCGTAACCCGCCCACGAAGCGTGTTTTTCCCCCTGTCGTTCTTTATCTGTTTGAACGGGAACCTTTGGGGCTTGAATATTAACGTTTCTCGCACAGTAGCATCACTGGAATTTATCAGAGCAGGCATAAGAGTGTGTGGTACTGTGCTACAATGGGCGCTTTTCATTTTTTATAACCTCCCACGAGTGAGGGTTTTTTTTCCGTCTAGCCTTGTCACGACCCACATTACCCGTCCCTCTCCCCGATTTCCCGCCGCCCTTCGAACTACCCGTGCATCTCGCACACACGCGGCATCTATTTTGCGCTCGGTACTCTATAGTATTTATTTATCTCAATGGAATTCGCCGGATCGGGGTCGGGTCTAGCATGAATATGGTGAATTTTAGCCGAGTGACAGTCAATGAGGCTGGCCGGGGAGTCACATCTTGGCGATAATCCTCGGATGTCAAACCGAAATTAGTGGATTGGGCGGCTCCACTAGGTATACCCCATGATTGGGGATAGCCCCCTAATTCATAAAGGGCGCTTGCGGGCTCGTGTATGCTCCCTACGTGGGTCCGAAAAGCATTACCCACACAACCCGAGTAGGACAATATATGTTGAGGTTTCCATATCTCGTCCTTCTCCTTGGCTTTGTACCAAATTCGTGATTTTCCTCCCTTTCCCTTCCAAACTCATCCTGTATCAGGCCGGCATTCCTAGAGATCTGGAACCGGTGCTGTACTTTACAATGCTCACGTCTCCGGGAAAAGAGCTGGGACCCGTTTGAGCTTTGTATGGGTCATAGCAATCAGTCCTATAAGTGTGTGATAATTCCAGTTGATCGTCCTGGCGACCGTCGAAAGGCCAATTCGGAAACTCTCCCATGGAAACGCAATGCTGCCTATCCTCCTTTTCCAATCCTTTTGGTTTTCCTTCCTTTGTTCATTATGGGGGGCATCTAGCATTAATGGCCGGATTGGTATGGTCTCGGGCCAACTATTCTACCCCACTATCGCGCTAGCCACCGCATCGCTCAGTTATTAGACTTGGTTTATCTATCCACTTCAACCCCCCTCAGCTTCCTGTGTTTCCTCTTCAGTTTTTGCAGTTTTTGCTCCCCCCTACATTTCCTTGAACCCTTATCCGGATCGCTACTCTACTCGCGGATTCCAGGGTATTAGGGCGCCCCAATACTAGGGACCACCAAGAAACGCGGTTCCTTGGCACTGTAGTGTCCGGGCATGTTTGAGATTATAGAGACGACACGATCGATCACCCGGGCCATTTTTCCAGGTTCCGGGGTTTCTACTCCAAGTACATATTCGTCGCGACTGATGCCGTAAGGTTCTGGTCAGCTCCGGGAATCGGGAGAACATCCTTACGCTAAACCCGAGTGAGCAATGGAAAGTATAATGGAAGGGATAATAGAAGGAAATAGAGGTGATGCAATGAGTCGAATGTTCTAGTGCTCGGATAGACAACTTTATGACCCTTCTCGATATTCTCCCCTTTCGCCCTCCCGGTGTAGAGCTGAATCGGGGCTCTCACGGCGCCAGCTCTCACCAGGGGCGGATCCGTGCTGTGCGTCCCTCGGTTAACCAGAGCCGCGATATTAGGAAGACACCCGCGTATATGTCCCATTGGGAACCTGTGGCAGCTGCATAGGGGTAGGTGGGAAAGCGTCAAACAGCACTACTTTTATCCCTAAGGGGTGGGATACCATGACGGGCTTTGGTCTTTTTGTTTTTTTTTATAAAAAAAGTCCATTGATTGGTTTAGGTACAGGGCGTGGGCCCACCGGTCTCATTGACGCCAAGTTATCCGCAGTCATACTGTCCCTATGGTCCCTAGGGCGTGTGCTTGAGTATCTCCTAGCAAGCCCGAAATGCTATGATATGATTGCAGGAACACCTTTTCAAAGGTGAATGAGTCTTGGCGTCGGGGAGGTCACAATTTGTTCCAATAGGAGGCAATGGTATTTCTACTTGTCCACTCCCAACCGATCCCCGCCACCGATAAGAATTTACCTTTGCCATACCGGCTTTTCCTAAGATGGCGGCTAACAATAACACCGGATTGCGCCTGATGGGCTTGGGGGATGATCTAGCACCACTTCGGGCATGAAATTTCCTCCCGTTCTTCTCGGCTCTAGCCGGGAGTTTACACAAAGACTCCCGATTTCCATTCCACTACATCCGGTCAAAATGGAGCAGCAGATAACACCCCGGGAAATTAAATCTTGTAACATGGACATCCGTAATGGCAACGATTATGGGCCAGTGAGCACCGGTTATCTCGCGGCCCTCATCTCTAGGGGCTCTCGATACCGACGGCTTGCCCGGCTCCGGGAGTGCCAAGCGCTACGATACCTTATAGCCCTGATTATCTAAGAAAAAAATCGGCGTCTGGGGGGGATGTGCGAGTCAGGGAAACCGGCCAAGGGGGATACATAACACAGTTGGCAGGTGAGATAGATTCAGCAGACCGCAAACTAATGGCAACTAAGGAATCCGAGAACTCCCAATCAGCAAGCTTACCGGAGCAGCGCATTTAGCGGCTCCGTGGATGCTATTCCAAGAACCGAATGACTCCCCGTGACCAGAGAAGGGCGAGCGACAATTTATGATAATTACCTAAATCTTCGGCTAGCCCCCCATACTCGTATTAAGAAAGTCTTGGCACCCCAGATACTCTAAAGTGTGACTGCAGTACAGAAACGCGGAATTACCCACCCTTCAGTACGATAATCGTTATCAACATCCTAGATTAGAGCCTCAGATTATTTGTAGAGAAAATCAGCCACCCAAAGCCACAGATACATGAAGCTACCGTATGAAGCAAGCAGAAGAGCCGCATCGTGTAACCACGGGGGATTCCTTCCTTCTGGGCAACTAACTTATTAGCGGTAACACCCGAGATCAGAGAGCGGGTTGCAACCATGATTGAAGGGAACAATCGGATACAGCCTCGGGAGACCGCTAACGTATCCCACGATGAGCCGAAATACACGGCGATACGAAACAAGTGGCAAATACACTATCTCTTGCTTACTAAGGGCACTTTTTTACTTAGGCTGTTTCGCGTAACCGTGTTAAATATCCTCAATTCGTAGCAACTAACCGTGTGTTTCGACCCGCCGTGGCCTACGTTAATGTGTTTATCCGGGATTGATGATTAAAATTGGGTTACTAGCGTTTAAGAGTGGGAGGGGGTTGAACAGGATGGAATCGATCACTTGATTAGAGTGATCCTTCTACTCAGTGAGGCTAACATTGGAGCTAGAGGTGGCGGGGAGAAGCAATGGTAGATATTTGGAACGAATCACTCACGCGCGATCGGGGACTTCAAGACTTCCTAACCCTATAGTAAACGTTTCCCGGTATATATACAGCTTTTAGTCATCATTAGCGGCCTGTGAAGAGTAGTTATTGGGCCTCAGGTACGGAGCCATCTCAGTAAATAATCCCAACTCCCCCTAGATCTCCACCATTTTAAGCCCCGTCCTTGTAGGATAAAAAAAAAAAACCCGTGCTTAGCCTGGACGACGCAGTAAAGTTGTCGGTAATCTAACACTATCCTCTTTTGCATTCTCGCCGGCCGGGAGTAGGCCCCCGGCATCATCAAGATGCACAAAGCACGGTAATAGTGCACCTTCGACAAGATAAATGGAGATTTTACATACAAAATATTTCGCTATCGGCAACTGCTCGTCAATTTCGTGCACTCTCTGGCCCAAATCCTTCTAACACGGTCGTGAGCTACACATTCACCGGTAGACAGAATTATGGCCCTGCGTCTCCGGAAATAAGTACAAAGAATAAGCGCTAAGTTAGGGTTCCATGTCACAAATCCAAGATTCTTGATGGGCAAATGAGAGCCGGTGATTCTCTATACAATATCAGGTGAGTAAAAATACCACGGTGAGCAAGCACTAATCGGAGAAAATTCTAATTCTTGAGGAAAGGGTTATCTGGGGGCCATCAATATATACATGTTAGACTAGGTATAAGGGGTATATCCTGGAGTGCAAGCAATCGTAGTATCCCGCTCGGGGTTCCTGGGGAAGGCGCCCGACAAGTCCTGCCGCTTACCGGAGCCCACTAGCTCCAATCGGCTAGTCGGACGGCGGCAAAGCGACCCACGGGGAACAGTACGGTGCTTGACCTGCTGGCTCACATCTGGCAGTACCGTCACCACTGCCGCCAGTCCTGTGCTAATAGCTCGAAGGGCATCAATGTAATATAGGTTGCTAGTCGTTCAATGTATCATATTGTCATAAGAACCACTCTGGCAGCTAAACTGCCCCCTCCATTATAAATGATTCGCCTACCCCTGCGCTAGCTTTTCCTGGAAGCTCACCGCTCAATCCGTTCGTGATTCCCCCAAATTCGCCTATCATACATCTAGAGAGTAATCATCCTTATCGACACAAACACCTCTATAATCTGTCCTAAGTTTTACACCCACAAATACACAGCAAGGCTGGCAGCCGACAGGCCGAGAACGGCTATCATGGAAACGGCCACAGTTGGGCTAGCAGAGCCCACAGTTGGGACTCCAGGGTCCGCAGTTTGGCCGCCAGAGTCCGTGGTTTGGCCGCCAGTGACCACAGTTTGGCCGCCAGTGACCACGGTTTGGCCGCCAATGACCACAGTTTGGCCACCAGTGACCATGGTTTGGCCGCCAGTGACCATGGTTTGGCCGCCGGAGACCACGGTTTGGCCGCCAGAGACCACAGTTTGGCCACCAATGACCACAGTTTGACCGCCAGTGACAATGGTTTGGCCGCCGGAAACCACGGTTTGGCCGCCAGAGACCACGGTTTGACCGCCAGAGCCCACGGTGCCCTGCCCTCCAGAGTCTGAGCATTTCTCGGCCGGAGGAATCTAAACCCCACTTAGTAAGGGGTTTTCGCGGGAGTAGGGAACGTATAACGCACCTTCCCCTCCAGATAATGGATGACACCATTCCTGGCTATAACATTGGACTTGGAGATCCGGACGCCGTTTACGAATCTGTCATTGTCTTTTGTGGTGATGCGCACCGAGCCGCCATCCCTCGTGGGCAAGCAGAGCTGATCTCTCATGTCGGGTGTGTAGGAAAGGCCGTCGTGGATGTACCGGCCCAGGTCAGCCGACCCGGGTAGATCTGTCTCGTCCAAGGCGGGGTCCTGAACAGCGAATATTGTCACCATTCGTTTCTCCGATACCTGCTTCAAAATATTCGCCTTCTCCATTGCCGTGGACCATAAGTGGCCGCTGGTATTGGCAAAGGTGGCTTCAATCGGGAGTGGCAGGGTGAAAAAGCTTTAGCAGTGTTAGCTCCCTGAGCCGCCGCTACTGCTACACCGGCCGGGATGGGAGCAGCGGGGTGCTTACCCGTCGCACTTCATAATGACACCATCCTCGAACGGCGTCTCATCGGGGTGAGCCAACGTCAAATGCCCGAGTCCGGAGATAATCTCGACAGAACCGTCTTTGCTCGCTGTTGGAATTGCGATTACACGAGCGCCTTCACCCTCCCCGAGGTTGGAGTATTTGTTTTCGCCCACCAGACTCGTCTTGAGGGTGATCGGCTCGTGCTTGATATCCGAACCTCCCTCGGGCTTCTCCGCAAACTGCTGGCTCATTTTAGGGTCGACGAACACCTCGCGGTGGGCAGGTCCGGGTACCGGTCCAGGTACCGGTCCGGGTAGATTTCCCCCAGAGCCCCGGATATGGTCCACAACAGATTGGGTAGGTGGCACGAAGAGGTAGTATTTTCTTTTGTCCTCGAGACCCTCGAAGGCTGACGGTGCCTGGGCCAAAAGGTCCCCGAAGGCTTTAGTAGCAGGGTCCTTGGCCAGTGCTGCAAACACGGCTTCCTTAAACTTGGGGGAGACTGGCTTGTGATTGGCTACAGTTTGGAGCGGAAGGAGCTCCCCGGAGAAGGCCAAGGTTACGGGGTTGCCTGCAACGGTGGCTGTAATGGGGCCGAATGTGGTGGTGACTGGTGCTGTAATGGGGCCGAATGAGGTGGTGACTGTTGCTGTTCTGCTTGAAGCTGTAATGGGGCCGGATGAGGTGGTGACTGTTGCTGTTCTGCTTGAAGCCGTAGCGCCGTCGCTGACCACGGTGGACGGGAGGAAGCCTATCTCCGTACCCGTGCTAGAGCCCGAGGATGAACCAGGAGACGATATCGGGCCCGTGGGCAGGCCCGTGGGCAGGGTTGTTGGGAGCCCGGTGAGGCTGACGGGAGGTCTAACACCGCTGCCACTGACGCATGTTCCGAGACCCACTCCGTCAAGGCAGCAGAGACCGCCCAAGAGACAGGAGTTTCCCGGCATACACCCTGGAGCCTTTAATCGCTACTCAATAACCCGGGGGGTACGTAACGTACAATGGCTAGTGCTGGTGTCACAACATGTTGCCCCATTCGCGACATCAACGCAAGCGGCACCACATGGGGCCCAGCCTTGAGATGGGCAGCTGCTGGCTTGGGAGGTAGATGTAGAACTGGATGTCGTAGTGTTTGCCGTGACCTGGCGAGCGCGGAGGTGGGCGATTCTCGGACGGTGGGGGTCACCTTGAGCTCTGCAAATATGCGTGGCGAGGAGGAGTAAGAAGACAAACATCAGCATTGCAGAGAGATGTGAGGACGGGGCTCAAAAAAAAAAAAAACGGAACACTGAAGAATATCGGGAAGGCAATGAGAGAGGGGCGAAGGATCGAGGACTCTAGCAGCTCTTTCTTAATACCATAGCTAGGTTATTATAAATAAGGATGATCACTCAATTCTTGGGTCAACCCAACTCGACATTTCGACGGAGGAGGGCCGCCTTTATGACACAACAGGGTGCTGGGCAAATGTGTCACGCAGGGCTTGGGGAGTGAGAGGTGATGAGCGAAGGAGATTCGTACGTAGTTAAGCCACGTGTTTTCAACCCCGGCGAGGGCAATTTAGTCGCCCCCCTATGCTCAGCTCCGCACATGCTGCTGATGTCCAAGGTAAGGGCGCAGCCGGTAGGGCGCAAACCAGAGCGAATTGAAATAGCTATTATTTCTGTTGAGGGTGAGAGGAGAGATCGGCGGATTGTGTGGAGGACATCCGTGTACATCTCCCGTCACAACAGCTAAGCGACTACAATCACATATCATCTAATTCTGGTGTCAAAATGGGATGCTACAGAATCTCGCTTTTAATGAATTGAGACGAGCTACGGTGCGCTAGGGCAGCCCTCAATCAAGAAGATTTCTCACATTAATTATATGCAGGATATCCCTTCACTCCATCGGTTCCTAAGACCTTCGTGTCCGCAATACCCAAAATTTCGAAACGTACCGTACAGTACCGCCAGTGCCAGTTCATGAAAGGTATCAGAGGGCTTCGCCAAAGGAACAGACCGAGAATCAGCCCATCAGTAGCGGGACTTTAAAAGGGCAAATACCGCACACTGGGGAGATTCAAGAGACGGAACTCGATCCGATCCCTCTTTTACCGCAGAAGCCCCCTTTGCACACTTGATTACACTTGGTGGTCGTGATTCCATGGAAGGAGAGAGGGTGAGACAAGAACCAGGTAGATGCGGACGGGCACTCGAGTACTATTCAGCGAGCCAGCGAAGCCTGACGAATAGCCGACATCTGAGCGCTGAGCTTACGTACCCCAAGTCGGTGGTTGACCAACTGGGTGGGGGAGACGTATCAGTCGGGATTACCGTAACTTAGCGAGTTTTGTGAGAAGCTCGAACCCAAGAGGTGGCTGACCGTGTGGCTTGACAACGTCGGAACAAGAAAAGTGCAACACCTGCCTTCCATTGAAAATTCCACCCCAGGTCTGCTGTCGGTTGGGTAACGATTGAATTCTCGATGCTCGGGCCAGAGAGGGTGTTGTTCACAGTATTCTATCAGCCAATCTTTTTCCTTTTCACATCAATCAACGGGTGAGAGGATCGACATCCCTCCTCGCCTCATGTGTCCCGGCTCTCAAACGTGGATCGACGAAGACGATAGCAACGACCGAAGGAAACGCCAAGAGTTCACACATGAAAAGGATGGCACAACTCAGGAGCGGGGAAGTTCTCCTCTTCATTTCCCTTCACTAACTAGCTAACGGTAAAGAGGAATATATACCAACAGAAATCAAGTCTTCCCATCCTTCCATGCTATTACTCGTATGCCTCCCCTTCCCCTTCCCGACTCCCTTGCTAATAAAGGAAGGACAAACTCCCATTTTCCATAGCCTCCGTCTATCCAACACTAGAGGAATCTGAATTTCCGGCTTCCCTTACAGCCTTTCCCCATCCCTTCCGGCGGATGCATTGGCCCAAAACCTCCATGCATTACTGCAGCCAAAATGCTTCCCTAAAGCCAAAACATGCCTGAAGGCAAGGTGTGTTCCCAAATCTATCCGAAAAAAGAAAGCAATTATCATGAGAGTTGCAGCTCGCGATTTCTAACACCGGCGCACCGTATCATAGTATTTATGTTAATATGAGGCGTTCCGTTTGGGCTATGGGGTCTTGGCAATATGGCAAACGTGCCTCTTCCCCCTCGCCCCCCAGGTTTTCGTTCTCCATAAAAGATACTGATTCCCAATGGGCTACCGAAAGCAACCACATTGAATTACCGCCAAGCTCGCAAAATACGAGGGGGATCCATAGGGGGAGTTTAACAATGTTTCGATTTTTACTGGCGGTCCTAAATACTGGTTGAGATATACGCTGGCTTCCTAGTGCAAATTGGTCGTCTTGGCACGGATTTCAGCCGCACCCTCTGAACTCAATATTTTAAGTTTAGTGGAACAACTCCTGTAGTCTGAAATTTAACTATGAATTATTAGGTTGAGCTCTCTATCGAAGGGAACTCACTAAAAATTTTTGTTGGATAGGTCTGCAGTGAAGATTGGGATTTCATGTGGAAGACCAGGGAGGGGGTTTACATTTCTCCGGTTACCTCACCAAAATGGGGTAAGAGTAAAAAGGCTATCGATTACCGTAACCTGGCCATCACCGTACCGAGTGAGTTATCCCCTTCCTGCCCATTCATTCCTCCTCCCTATTCAGCCCCGTATTATCGTTCGATTGCCTGCTGCCTGGGCACCTGTCCCGCATCACAAGTGCATGAAAATGGGGGATTAAAGTGCTTATCTGCGAACCAATCCAAATGCGCCCCCATCTTCCGCGGAAATTTTGGCCCGGGATGAGTGGGCTCCCGGGCTGTGAGGTTCCTGTTGCTTTTTATAGCCTCCGCCATCCCTGTGCGTCCCTCGGTTCAGCCTCACCTGCCGTGCGATGAATACGGTGCCAAATATCTTGAGAACTCAATCTAAGATAACGCGCATTAAAATGTTGGAGCGCCCCCTCCAGCAACACGAGGGGACAATACGCCAAAACCGACCTCAACTGAGACAGGACGAAACAACAGTGCATAGTGCCTCCTTAGGAGAGATAGCTGCGGCGTCCGAGTACATTCATCTACTATTGGAGCTCCTCCGATAGCGTTACCTTCCAAAAAGCCCGCGCCGCGCCCACCGGTCGTAGCAAGTGTGTTAAAGGCTTTAGCGACGCGGAAGCTTCATTTTACCCTACTTTCTCCCGGGCAAGAATCCCGGAAAAAAACATGGATTTAAGAGATATCATACATGGCGAAAAATATGTTCGTAACGGGGCTCGAAACCAAGATACCGTACTTGCCGGTTGAAGTTTCTCCGGATAAGGCGCCCGTCAAGACTACGGGTACTAGCTAGGCCCCAATTTAGGATGTGTCCAGCAGTTTAGGGCCCGGGTTTTGTTGATTACCGCGGAGGGCTCTTGGGTTTGATAGATTGTGCGGGCATTTGGGTTGGATTAAGCTGCGGGGTAGAGGGGACAGGGAACATGTCAATAGTACAGTACGAGTAATGGGTCTGACGTTTGTGATACGGACTGCCGGACTAATTGCATACCATAGGGAATTTGCAGAGGGCGTTGGGGTTTTGGCGGTGCGCGATAACAGTACATTTCTCACAAGTGTGGGTAATTACTAGCGGGTTTCTCGGGGGGATAAGATATGTGTGCAGCCCTTCATCAATCTTCAACATGCCCATTCGTCAGCAAACACGTTTCGCAACATGCTCATGGTCGGCGATCCGAAAACCCTCCATAATGCGGCTGAGAATGTCGCTGGACAGCCGCAAGAAAGAGTGGACTTCTTTGTGGTTTCCGCGCCCCGGGTGGCGACGCTCCGGTTGTCGGTTTTAGTTACTACCCCGGTTCTGCTGTCCATATCCATTGTCTCCGTGCTCGCGTTCCCGATTTTGAGGTATTGGGACTGGGGTAAGTGCTGGCACAGGAAGATGCTGTTTGGCGAGGGTGCCTATCTGTTTGCGCGTACGAAGGGCCCAAACGCTTCCGCTAAAGCAGTGAGCATTGGTGGCGCTATTCCTAGCTGTTTGAAAAAGTTTTGGCGGTGATCGAGGCCTTTTTTTGAACGTCGGTTCGGCGGAGGCTATCCCGATATCGAAAACGAGCAGCGAAACGAGCAGCGAAACTAACAGCGAAGCGAACCAGGATACGACGCAACGGAACAAAACGAACGAGTGACGGGCGGTGAAACGAAACGCCAAGATCACTCACGTGAAAGGATCGCAAAACTTACAGGGGGGGAGAAAACTCTTTACTTCGTTAACTTTACACCATCGCGCATTCTCTCTATCAACTCTCTAACTAACTAACGCTAGATATAGCAGTATATATCAACTACAAAAACGACAAGATCCTAACCCCCCACGTACGTCTCTCACATACTAGCAAACAAGAAAAGCTAACGAAGAAAAAACAAACTTCGGCTGCCCAGCCTCGGGCCCTCCTCTTGGCCTTTCTGCTTTCATTCGTGCCTTCCTTCCAGTCTTCTCGCCATCCTTTCGGAAGATGCACTGTCCCAAGACTCCCGCACGTTCCCGCGACCGAAGTGCTTTCCCGAAAAGCCAAACTGCGCGGGTGGAAGCCATAGCGCGCCCGAAACAAAAAGCGTGCTCCCGGAGACCATGCGAACAAGCAAGCAAACTATCGTGAGAGAGCATGCCGGGCATCACCTTGCGATTTCCAGCAGCCTTTTGGAAATTAGGAATCCCACTTCATCCTTTCGGCCATCCCTCTGGAGATCTCTCTTTAGACCTATCTGCTCGGTTTTTTTCTTTTCCGTTTTTCGTAATCTGCCTATGAATGCGTGTCCCCCCACCCCCTATCATCCTACATCCATCCACTCGAACGAGAATCTTTGACGCGTTAGGCCTTGTTTGGCGCGCAAGAAAAATGCCTTTTCCTTACTTTTATGGCATTTATCCTCCATAAACATTAAAAAAAAGAAAAAAAGAGCGGAGCCCTGTTTGGCATGCAAGAAAAATGTTATTTTTAAAAAATTGTCTCCATTTTTTTATGGCATTTTTTTTGTAAAGCTAATAGGGTGTTAGGGTAGAATGGAAAATGTAAATTAAAAGTGATAATAATTCAAGTTAATTTTTGTAAAAGCAGTCAGTGATTAAAAAGAGGACCTATCTTCATTTATGCAACTCAAACCTATCGTCGAGTTTTTGTTTAGTTGTATAAACTCTACAATAAGGAGGAATTTTTCCAAACACTATGGCCTTTTTTCGGCCGGC